TGAAAGAAAAACTTGAATTTCCTGAGTTTAGGAAACCTAGTAGTCTGGTGCTGCAAGGGCAGGAGTGGGACCCTTGAAAGTGGCTTGGTGAAAAGCTTAAAAAGGGACTCCTGAGTGCAGACCAGGGAAGGACTACAGAAAGGGAAGCTCTGAGGAAAATTCGAGAGTTTGTGTCCCGATACAGCTTTTCTCTTTAAATATCCCGCACTGAACTCAATCAGTCTAATCAATCAAGAGCATGGAACAAAACATCCTTAGCCCCTACTAACTGAGAGGGGAGAAAACTTGGCATCTTAGGGAGGCGCCTGTATTCTCTTACATCCTTTCTTATGAGGGTTGCCAATTACCAGGCCGCAATGGGTGCATACCACAGACAGTTGTGGAATAAGATTCTACCTATTCTTCAAGCCATGCCTGACACTTCCAAAACTGAAGCAACATCTTCGACACCTACCTTCCGTCGTCAACAACAACAGACATGTGGACAACCCTTTCAACACCCACAAAAAAGGGTAAGCAGTATTCATAGACCTTTTCCATCTTCCTTTCAAACTAGACTACATCCTTTCCTCAACTCCTGGCGTCGAATTACTAACAACCAGTGGGTTCTTTCTATTATTCAAAACTTATTTTATTGAATTTAAACATACTCCACCTGGCACCATTAGGACCACACCATATTCATTGGCTCTTGAACAATAAATTTGCTTTCTCCTCCAAAAACAAGCTATATACATAGTCCCCCCTGCCCTTCACGAAGGATTTTATTCAAGATATTTTACATTACCGAGAAAAGATTGAGGACTCCCTATTCTTGATCTTCGAAATTGTTCATTCAACCTAAATGCTTCACAATGCTGACACTCAACATTATTATCCCTCTCCTTTCACAGGAGGATTGGTTTGTTGTTATTGACCTTCAAGATGTGTACTTTCATATCTCCGTCCATCTGTTTCGACAACGTCTCATGCCAGTTCTGCTCCCTCCCATTCAGTCTCTCTACAACACCAAGGACCTTCACCAAATGCATGGCACCGGTCGCCGCCTATCTCCGTCTTCAAGGTATCACCATATTTCCTTATATCGACAACTGGCTGATAGTTGCCACTTCCTATCACAAAGTCGTCACAGCCGCCCAATTCGCTCTCAATACTCTTCGAGACCTTGGACTCAAGGTGAACCTTGCTAAATCCCATCTTGAACCATCACAAACCACCATTATATCAGAGCGTACTTTGATTCCCTACAAGCCAGGAAATCCCTTCAGGAGAGGATCATCAAACTAATAAGAGTAATACAACCTTTTCAACCTATAGCCTCGGTATCGGCATATCAAACCCAACACCTCCTTGGGCTCATGGCTTCCATGACCACCGTTATCCAACATGCTTGGGTGAAAATGAGGTCCCTTCAGTCATGGTATCTGTCACTCTTTGATCCCATGACAGACCTCCTGTCTAAACATCTCACAGTAACTTATGAGCTTGCTCATCAACTCACCTGGTGGGCGTTTCTTCCACATCTATTCATCGGAAGACCTTTTCTACCACTTCAGCTCACAATACAAGTCACCACCAACGCCAGCCCGTCAGGCTGGGGGCACATTGTCGACATCACAGAATCCATGGTCTCTGGACAAGACAAGAATGGTTATTACACATAAACCACCTCGAACTTCAGCAATCATCAAGACGTTTCGCACCTTCTTACCAATCATTGCAGGGCAGGCTATACAGCTACCTACAGATAATACAACAGCCCTTTATTATGTGAACAAACAGGGAGGCACACACTCTCTCTCATTACTATACCTGTCTGTCGAGCTCTGGGAGTGGTGTTACCTACACCACATTTTCCCAGTAGCAGTACATGTCTCCACAGACAACAATCAACTCGCAGACCATCTCGGTTCCCTCAGCATGCAAACACATGAGTGGTCATTGGCCAACAACGTTTTCGATCTCCTCTGTCACCGGTGGGGTTTCCCGTCCATTGATGTCTTCGCCTCCAAGACCACTGCCAGGTGTCACCAATATTGTTCCTGTGCCGGTACCAGCAAGAACTCAATCAGAGATGCCTTTATGATAGACTGGAACAACAGATTCCTCTACCTCTTCCCTCCGATACCACTCATTCAATGCACCATCCTTCGGCTTTGTCAGTTTCGCTCAAACGCCATACTTCTCGCCCGGTGGTGGCCACAACAACCATGGTTCAACCATGAGGCCATCATAGACATACTTGATCGAGCTTGAAAACCTTTGACCCAACTTCTGTATCAGAATAAATGGAAGGTTTAATGGTTGTTGTGGGTTTTTTGGGCTCTTTGGCCGTGTTCTGAAGGTTGTTCTTCCTAACGTTTTGCCAGTCTCTGTGGCTGGCATCTTCAGAGGACAGCACTTCAGAGGACACT